TTCCACTAGACCACGGTGCTCCAAGCCCCGTCCAGCCTGACCTTGGACACTTCCAGGGATGGGGCAGCCACAGCTTCTCTGGGSAGCCTCTGCCGGGCTTCACCACCCTCACAGTAAACAATTTTTTTTCCTAATACCTAATCTAAACTTACTTTCTGCCAGTGTGAAGCCATCTCCCCTTGTCCTGTCACTACATGCTCTTGTAAATAGTGTCTCTGTCTTTCCTGTAGACCCCTTCAGGTGCTGAAATTTAATGAGTCTCTGCACTGCGTGCCCAGTGAGATGGGGCAGTGATGTGCAGATGAATATTATGCTTCTGGCTTTAGATAGGGYTGAACTATATGTGTGAATTCTTAGTTTGACTGTTTGGTTTTAATTTTTTAGGAGCTTTTTGTTCAGTATTTGGCAACATACTCCTACAAACACGGCAGAGGGAAGGAGAAGAACGCTCTTACTTACAGTGACCTGTCTCATACAGCAGAAGAGTGTGAGACCTTTCAGTTCCTTGCAGGTATCAAAAGCAGAAGGGCAAATCCAGTGTCTGCTTTGGAAAATGAAATCTTACTCTTATTGCTCTGTTTTGTGAGGACCCAGTTCTACTGATCATCRATCTGCATAGCATTCAACTGGAACTCATAAACTACATCACTAAAAACATTAATTTGTGAGTGGGRATTTTTCTGCTGCCACTAAATTATGGAATTATACTATATACAGTTCCTGGGATATTGCCTTAAGCATTTCTTAAATTCCAGCAGTTTCATCTAAAAGCTTTTCACTTATAAAATAAGATCATCACACATCTTTGGGTGAGAAGTTATATGGACCCAAAATGACACATAAGAATTTTTAAGCTTTGAGAAAAACTGCTTCATCATATGATCCCTTTCTTTCTTTAGATATATGTACACACACATGCACACCATTTTTATTGATATTCGGATTTTTTTACAACACTTAGCTCAAGGATATAAGGTTTAGACAAGTCTCTCCCTGGGTTCCCCATGGGTCTACTTCCAGAGCACACAGTATTGCTTTGTCTCAGGTAATGCAGAAAAGTTATTTCTACAGAACATTAATGATGTGCTGGATCTAAGGCAGTTGAGCATTCTCTTTTACATCAAATAATGTACATCAGCAGACAGTAGAGASAGTTGCCAGTAGTCAGTCCTGAAACAGAGTCCTTATCTTTGGTTACTTGTACCATAAGTGGGTAATTCCCTCCTACTTGTACGGCTGTGGAGGTCAGATTAATTTACCTGGTTATTGACTTAAGGCTTGTTGAAAATACTRTTTGTAGTTTAAAATCATTTAGTTAAAATATTGATTTCTTTTTGACTTGTTAGTGGTTTGGATACAACAGTATTAGTGAGGCAATAYAAATATTCAAACAGACTATAAAAACAACAATTCTGCCTTCCAGATATCTTGCCAAAGAAGATCCTAGCTAGCAAATACCTGAAAATGCTGGAAAAAGAGAAGCGAGATGGAGAAGTGAGGGAAGACGATGATGAGGATGAGGAGGAAGAGGATGAAGACAAAGTTGTTGGTGGCAGTGTTGGATCTTAAGGCCAATGGAGAATTGTTTCATAGTTGATCCATTTTCTRTTGTTCAAAGGATGTTATTTTTGTGACTGAGAATCCAGATGCTGGATATATTTATACACTGAGCCATCTGCTTTTGCTTTAAGAAGTTTAGAAATTGAACTTTATACTCGTTGAAGAATGGAATTCTTCCCTCAGAAACATGGTGGGGTAGGAAGAGACAGTGCAAATCTGACAGCAGAGCTTGGTCAGATGATTTGAAATGACTTTGTCAGACAATCATTACCCAAATTTAAAATTTCTTATGGGCAGCTTTCAATTCTAAAGCTCCAAAAGTGGACCAAGTCCATTAAAAAAGTCTGTAAAAACAGCCATGTGAGCACCAAAATGGGGTACAGGAGGAGATGCATCCCAAGGGCTAATGTGGTTCTGCAGCTGTGGTGGTAAATGTGTTTAAAATTAAGTAAATACGTGCATCTGGAACTTTTTTCTTGAACTCCACTTGCATTTTCTCTTGCCAAAATGCACATTGAAGTAAGTCTGTTAATTGTGGGTTCTTGAGAATGAGCAGCTGCTTTACCATGTGAGTGACAGAGCTGGATTTTTCATTTGGTTTTGGTTTRGTTTTTGGGGTTTTTTACTACAGAAATGGCAACCGTCCTGTGTAGAACTTTATGTGCAACTTTTTAAAATAAACTTTTTGTATGAAAACTGACAATGGATGCAGAATCTTTCTTTAGTTCTTTCCAGCTTCAGTCATACATGTGGTCAGTGTGGCAGTGTTTGCAGTGTCCTGGTGACTCAGAGAGAAGTGACCAAGATCTCTCTTCAGCTACCAGGAATGCTCCTGGTAAGCACAGGAATGTTAACAGGGAATAACACCTCCCACTCCAAAAGAGCTGGGCAGAAAATCAGGAATTTGTTGTCTCAAGCAGCACTCTAATTTGGAGGGCACAGTAGAGTTACCAGGGAACTGAACAGCTGAACACCTTCTCTCGGGCTGAAGGCACAAAAACACAACTGCTCTTAAAACACGGCAGGGAGCTCCAGAATCTCCACAATCCAGCACATTCCATATTCTGAGAAAGCCAAATGGAGGTTGGGCAGGTGAGATCAGGGCCTGGCAGAGCTACTGAGCCACACCAGAAATACTCCTGCTGTTTTAACAGATCAGAGGATGTTGCACTGTAAAAAAATTTCCTGAAGTTGCCATAAATGAAAATGTACCAGGATACCATAAATGTATCGTACCAGGAATGCTGCAATGAGGGCTGGATCCCTGGGGAAATTCCCAAGGGGGTATAGGTGGGACTACACCATAGTTGAAAGAGTTGTTTTGTGTTGGTTTGTTTTCTTTTAATATTAAACATGCACAGAGCTATGTGGGAAACTGAGCATGGAATGCTGTTTGTGGGGAGGGGGTGCCAGTTGTGGGATAGGCCAGGTTTTTGGGAAAGGAAAAAGAAGATAAACCAGCACAAAATTGCACAGTAATTGTCCARAATTGACGAGCATAAACAGGGATGAGGCAATAAGGAAATACCTGAACCATGGTTACCTTGGAAGGGGTACAGCCAAAGAGAGGAACGACAGCCTAGRGAAGAAGGTGGAAGGTGTTTCAATTTTTGACCTAGTTTCTCACCATCTAATTGCATTTAATTCATCAGTAAATTATATAAATCAGTAAATTATATAAATTTCCCCCTACTCAAGTCTGTTTTGCCCATGACAGCAAYTGCTCAGTGACCTYRCTGTCTATACCTCAACCCATGAGCTTACTCATCCTGTTCTCTCTAAACTGCATCATTTAACATGAACTTCCTCAAAAGTGACCAAGTATTTTGTCACGTTTAAGGTCTTCTGGGATTTTAGACTGAAATACAGGCCAGGGGACACTTTCCAGGATGAATTAGTATTATTATTGTATACATGTTTCTTTTTTCCCCGCTACAACACTGCCCAATGCTGTTCAAAGGACATGAAGTTTCCTAAACTTGCAAAAATGACAAAAGAACTGTGGTCACTAAGTATAAATCACCATATTTCTTTCCCTCTCAGAAGTTTCCTGTGGGATGATGAACATACTCTCTGAATTACTGAGACCAGAAGAATTTGCAYGCCCTTCTGGATTCATTCAGCCAGAATCCTCTATGGGAACTTCAGGGCTGCCAAAATCTGCCACAGYCCTCTCCAAGGCCCTGCATCTGCCACAGCTTGTTGCCATCAAACCAKTGAAGGGTTATTTGTTTTCCCCAAGAGCCTGACACAGAACAAAACCTCATTCAATTCAAAGCAGTGTTTCAAAAAACAAGGGAAAAAATAAATGGAAGAGACAGCTCTGACAGTATTTCATATTATTGGGTAAAACCAATCTGKGTTTGCAGGGTTGGGCTCCCAAAGGAAGCTCCTTGGCATCCTTGCAATTCTGTAGSATGCTTTAGAGTCACCACCAGGTGCTACAGTTTCTTCATTTCAAAATTATCACTGTATAATTATCACCAGAGAGCAAGAAAAAATCAGGATTTCAGGCAAGTGGCTTCCAGAATGCTCACCTTTCATAAATAATTCCAGGATTACAARTTGTGAGAGGTTAAAGCAGCATGGATTGTCTCTGGCTGGGCAAAGAGCAGGTGAGAGCACAGGAAAACACCCAAAACACCTCTAAGGGGTGAAATGCAAGGGAGGGTAACAGACCAGAGATTTTGGCACAGTCTCACAGTGCACGTGACTGTAAAAAAATGGCCAAATATTAAATAAAAAGCCATCAAACCATTTCTTGTAAAGATGAGGAATTTTATTTTATTGACATACTATGAGGCAAAACAAAATTGACACCATACAAAATAACTTTATAAAATATCATTCACATCATTATTTTGTCAGGAATTACAGCATTCTGAGCTTGTTACAAGTCTTATGTTTTGAGGTGAAAAACACTATGCTAAATCTTTAGTATTAGTTGTATATATACAGTAAGAAACCAGAACAGAACCTGTTAGGTTTTTCATGAGTTTATTGCAAAAGTAGTGCAAACTATTTTACCTTGCAAGCTGTAAAACAAACTTGGAAAAGGACCCACCTAAGCTTAAAAACATGACAATAAATGCTCAATTTCACAGCCTTTGAAGCTTCCTTCAACAGTTCTCAACAAAAATTCTCCATCTCTGCACATTTTTAGGTTTTCACTGACTTGGAAATAAAGGAGAGAAGGGTGGACCTRCAGTAGGGAGCGGGCAGAGAGCGGGAGGGTCCTGCTCCAACATGGGGCACTGCTCTTACCAATTTGGGTAAGATTTGGGGCATCACCCCCAAAACACCCACCAATGGGGCGAGTTTGGTCACTTTGTGTACCCCCATTAATAAACTGCCCCTTTCCACGCCCGTATTTGAGAAAAGAGTCAAGAAAGCAGAACGAGTAAAACCAAAACRTAATTCAGAATTAGGAACATGTATTGTCTGTTTTAGGAATATAGTATCCTTTTCCTCCTACTCCTGAAGTCTATAAAGCAAATTTCCATAGTCCCCCTCCCCGTGTGTCCACACTGCAGGGCACATCCCATCCCAAACTTCTGCACGATCCCAAGGCAGGATACTACATTCTGCAAGATCCAGAGAAAACAACGGCCTAAAACCTACCGGGGTCCCCCAAAGCAAACAKGTAGCTAAGTCATCTCCTAAAAAATCAGAAAAGCAAACAAATGCTACATGAAAAATGTTAAAGAAACAAAATGCAGCATATTCAGGCTTTTTTTTTTCTTATCTTGAGGTACCTATATAAATATTACCTTCTGCCCAAAGTACGATTGGTTTTGTTAAAAAACTAAAGTCCTTATCAYGAGCCAATTGCAGGGCAAACGTTATTACTGAGAAAGTGCAACCATGCTGATCATTTATCTGCAGCATATTAAAGGATGATTAGGCTTTAGAAAATATAGCTTAAGTCTAGACCTGATGGAGCAGTTTTATAAAAACACTGAACAGAGGCATTTTCCTTTTGTTTGAGTCTCTCTGCAACAGAAAGCCTTAGGAAACAGCTTGGAAGTCCTGCCATGATGGAATGTCAGCACTTTTACAATCCCATATATAGATTTTTTTTTTCTTTAATATTTAAACTAAATACAATTTTACAGCAAAGATTCCCCCTCTGTAGTAGGTACTGGTAAAAAGTGGATTTTAAAAAATTTTTTTAAACTTCAAAAAATGATAGCGTATCACAACTTAAAGCTTTCCAAAAAGGAATTATTTTTAAGTAAAAAAGGTTCACATTAAGTAAAAAACTTACACGTAGTTGTAAACTGTTCCATACAGAACTGTGAAAGATCAATGATGTTTTATTCCCTCACCCTTACATGTGTATCCCTTCATTTTATATCCATACACAGATACACACAGTCATGTACTATATGTGTGTGCTATATTCATGTATAGAGACACACAGATGTACAGATCTGGGCTCAGGATTAAACATTTCCAAAAACTTCTTTATTGGGCAATTCTCTTGGCCTAGGTCAGCTGTGATACTTTATTTTACAACTTGCTACACCGAAAAGTATTTTCAAATTCAGTTTTGTGGCGCGGTTAAAATCCATTTGCTGTTTTTAATCAGGAAGATGAGCTTTGATTGTTATGCACAGGGGAAAAAATCACAAAGGCACAAAGAATAGAAATCAAATCCAAGATTGTTGTCTCAGAACAAGAACCCCAAGGTTTTGGGCCATGGACAGGGTTGGTTTGGTCGCCTTTGCCAAATGTCCTTGACAATTTGAGTAATTAGCACCCAACTGGTTACATGAGGTAGATCCAAATTGGAAAAAAAATAATAATAAAATAAAAGCAAGCTGGGTCCCCAACACTTTTTTTTTGCCTCTATTTAAATGTTTTAAGGATCCTATGTCAGTCATAAGAAGTGGAAGCAATGGCACCCATCCGAAGCAAGCAMAGAACTCAAGAACGGCTTTTTTTTGGGATGCAAAATTTTAAGTGTTAAATCACAATCCTCCTTCAGGCAGAGATTTGCTGGCAGGGGGAAGGGAGGAGAATATGTTCAGCAACAAGGACAAYGAAAAGCTGGGATTTGGGAAAGCCTGTTTGGGGTGGGCTGCTGGAGGAAGGCCTGAGAGCCAACGCTCAAGAGGCATCACAGTATAGACAGCTACAGATGTCCCTTATTTCTCAGGGGAGGAGATTTCCTTTACTAACGCTGAAGCTCTTCTACAGGAACATCCTCCTGTCATTAAACAGTATTTTTGCATACTCTGAGAGAAAATCTGACACATTTCTCGTTTAGTTAAGGCTTAGTTTAAAGTGGCACGGCCACACAGCGTCATGCAAGTGCTCACCTATGTCAGCGAGAGATACAATGGATTAATTACTTAATTAATTAATTACACCCTCTGAGCCCCCAGTGCTGCCCAGCAATGCCTACAACCTCCAGGGGAAATCCTACAACACCATGARTGCCCTTCAGAGTCAGCTGAGGGCAATTCTGGGTCTGGTTTTGCATTACAAGTGCTACTCTTGCCCAGCCAGCACTACATCGTTTTACACACTGCAAGCACGAGACAGCTCCACAGAGATGCAACACACACACAAATCTACTCAACACACATTTAGTACCACTTGAAACGACCTTAACATCATATATTTTTTTTTCTTTTTCTTCTCTGTCAAAAAAAAAAAAATAGCAAAATTTCAATGGTCATAGAAATATTTTGATTC